CGGCCCGGCCCCGCCCGCCCCGCGGCCCCGCGCCAGGTGCATTCCCGGGCACGCTCCGCCGCTACCGGGGAGCCGCGATGGAGCCGCACCGGCACCGGCACCGGGAGCGGCCCCGGGCGTTGCTGCTGCTGCCGCTGCTGCTGCTCCGCGCCCCCGCGCCCGGCTCCGCGCAGGCAGGTGAGCACCGATACCGGCACCGGTACCGGCACCGGCACGGCGGAACCGGGTAAAGGGGAACCGGGCAAACACCGCAGCGCTCGGGGGTCTCGGGGTGGGTCCTGCGGGTTTGGGAGCGCTCGGGGGTCCCGGCCGTGTTGCTGTCGCGATTCCGCCGGTACCGGAGCCGCCGATCCAATCCCGGCAATTCCCGCCGCTGCTTCCCCCGCGGGGGCGTCCCGGGATCCCCCGGTGCTGTCCCGGAGGGGTCCCCACGGCTCCGGGGGCACCGGGACCGGCACTGAAACCCCCCCGGGACTGCGGCTCCGGCGGGGCTGGGGCTCGGTGCCCCTTCCCGGGGCTCGGTGCCGCGCTCGGTGCCCCTTTCCGGGATTCGGTCCCGGCCTCGGTGCCCCTTCCCGGGGCTCAATCCCTGGGCTCGGCGCCCCCTCCCCGGTTCGATCCCGCTCTCGGTGCCCCCTCCCCGGCTCCGTCTCGCTCCCGGTTCCCCCTCCCGCGCTCGGCACCTGCGGCCCCGCAGCTGCCCGGGCTAATTTTAGGCTGCGGGGCCGGGTCCCGGCGATGCCTTTGGGATCCGGGCGCGATCCCCGAGGGGGACGAGGGGGGATCCTTCAGGGGGGACCCCCGGAGAGTTCCCGGCCCGGCCCGCGCGGCCCCGCCGCACCCCCGGCACCCCGGAAGGGCCGCGGCCGCCCGGGAGTTGTTTTTCAGTCCCCAAAGGAAAAACACCGAGGGCTGGACGCGCAGGTGGGGCCGGCGTCACCCCGAAACGCCCGCGGTGCCCGGGGGGTGCCCGGGCTGGGGGGCACACACGGGGGACCCCTCGCCGTGTCCCCTTGCTCCATGTGCCACCGGCGACGCCTCGGGTGCCACCCACGGGCTCCGGATCCCCCGGAGAGAGAGGGAGCAGAGCGGGGGCTCGGGGACATCTCGGGGGGATTGGGGACACCACGGCGACACCGAGGGGAGCGGCCCCAGCTCGGCGCCCCCCAAAGCCCCTTCTCTGAGAGCCCCCTTTGTTCGTGGCCGGGGCCCGGCGCACACAGCCCCCTTTGTGCCGGGCCCGAGGGCA